TAGGAGGGTGTTCTTTAAAGATGCCTCAACACAGCCTCCAGTTTTGTGAGAGCAGTTTTACACACACACACCCAAGGGCTGTGTCTACACTGGCAAGTTTTTCCGGAAAATCATCTGATTTTCCAGAAAAACTTGCCAGCTGTCTACACTGGCCGCTTGAATTTCCGGACGATCTACTGTAAAATCATCAGTGCTTTTCTGGAAAAACTATGCTGCTCCCGTTTGGGCAAAAGTCTTTTTCAGAAAGACTTTTGCCCGAAAGGGCCAGTGTAGACAGCATAGTTCTGTTTTCCGCAAAAAAGCCCCGATCACGAAAATAGTGATCGGGGCTTTTTTGCAAAAAAACGCGTCTAGATTGGCCACGGATGCTTTTCCGCAAAAAGTTCTTTTCCGGAAAAGCATCCGGCCAATCTAGACGTGCTTTTCCGAAAATGCTTTTAACGGAAAACTTTTCCGTTAAAAGCATTTCCGGTAAATCATGCCAGTGTAGACGTAGCCAAGATGTACATTTCATACACACTAGTTAATTACTGGTGCTAACAGCTGGGTCGCAGTGCTGCCAGGGCACTGGCCTGAGCAGTGGACAATTTGGTGTCTATTCCCAACTCTGCCACTAGCTGCTGTGTGGCCTAGGGCAAGTCACGTCCCTGCTTTGTGCCTCAGTTTCCCCACTTTACAAAGGAAGTCAGCATCATGATCCCCTTTGTACAAGTGCTTTGAGAACTACAGCTGAGCTCCGTGTATGGGCGTTACTGTAGCTCCGTGTGCAGGGCGCGATACAGCAGCTACATGTCTCAGCTCCGACGTCTGCCTAGACAGAGACCGATGGTCTGAACCCTAACCCCTGCCACATTAGCAAGGATTTGACCTAATCGCCCTGCACACACCTCCACATGAGGGCATGGAGCCCACGTATCTGTCTTCAGTATCTAGCTGACAGGAGTATCTGGGCACCGCCCATCTGTAATGGATGGAGGGCAGGGCCATTGCCCCAGGGTCAGGTGGGGCTCTCAGGTGAAGAGAAGACAGGGGACTAGTCCAAGGTCACACAGGGAGGCAGTGGCTGAGCACGGGATGGAGCTGCCATCTCCCGACTCCCAGGCAGTGTCCATTGCATCACCTTGCCTCCCCTGTCAATGGGCAGCTGCTCTGTTGTTACCCGCACAAATTTCTCTCTCCCTTCCACACTGTAGGGACACCCAGTTCCTGGGGCTCAAGGTGCAACCCTGTGAATTCACACACCCACCCTTACCCAATTCCTAGGGCTCAGGGTGTAACAACCCACGGGTTGGCAGGATCTTTAGCCACTGAGGGTTGTCTACCTAATGTAGGCATTCGAACTTGCAAATGAAGCCTGGGATTCAAATATCCTGGGCTTCATTTGCATGTTCCTGGACAGGCGCCATTTTTAAATGCCCGTAGTTCGAACTACCTGCCCGTAATTCGGACTAGGTAGTTCGAATGAAAGCTCCTAATTTGAACTACTGTTAAACCAAGAGGATAAGGACCAAGAGGTTTAACGGTAGTTCGAATTAGGAGCTTTAATTCAAACTACCTAGTCCGTGCCGCGTGTAGCCGCAGGCAGGTAGTTCGAACTACGGGCATTTAAAAATGGCGACTGCCCCGGAACATGCAAATGAAGCCCGGGATATTTAAATCCCAGGCTTCATTTGCAAGTTCAAATGCCTACATTAGCCTCCCTAGTTCGAACTAGGATGGCAGTGTAGACAACCCTCAGTGGCTAAAGACCCTGCCAACCCGTGGGTTGTTACACCCTGAGCCCTAGGAATTGGGTAAGGGTGGGTGTGTGAATTCACAGGGTTGCACCTTGAGCCTCACACAGTAATGTCCTTATCCTCTATTTATTGACAATTCCCAAACTAGCAGAATGCACATGCTAAGTACACAGTGTCATGCTCACCAATCCTGATAAAGGCAGGCAGGCAGACTTCCCCTGTTGGCCAGGCAATATCAGTCTCTCTGGTCTTAGGCTGTGTCTCGGAGGTGAGTTCCTCTTTTCCGGGTCTTCCTCCCTCCTCCTGGTCCTCTTCCAGCCTTTTCTTCCTTCTGTTACTTCTGATCTTCTTCTTCTCCTTCTTGAACCCCAGTTTATATAATGAAACCTGGGTTTTGTTTAGCTAGACCTTAACCAATTATTTTAATATAATTTTACTAACCAATCATAACAAAATGACCTAACCAATCATACCCCACCACCTTAATTGATTTACACCTAGCAAAATTAATGATACAGGAGACAGAAACAGTTACAAGAGACAGAGATCACACAGTCAAACAATAGGGAAGTGTAGTGACAATGATCATAGGGTGAGGATTCCACAATATGCTCTATGGATAAGCAATTTCTTGCCAGACAGACTGGTGTTACTTAAGTTTTCTTTACCCATCTTGAGATCTGTTTCTTTATCTGGTGACAGTGGGGGAGCGATCCGGGCAAAGTCCCCTCCTCACAGCCAGGGGTGACACTTTGTAATACCATTTAGGTGGAAATGTGAGTATGTGACTCCAGGCCTTACAGGAATGGCTGCTACTCTTCAGTCTGGCTGCAGAAGGTGGCTTTGGTTCAGGCCTAGCACAGGCCTTCCAACATGGCTACAGAAAAGCCATATTGTTACACTGTGATTCCTCCGGGATTCCAAGAGGGCCTCGTAATCCTAGTGCACGTCTACTCTGCAATGTAAGCCCGGGGTTTGAATTCAGGTTCAAGCCGAATTCCCTTCCATCCACACACAAATTGTGCTAACCCAAGGATTGGGATTGGAGGAGCCAACCTGAGTCACGCCCTATTGCTATGCAATGCAGGTGCAGCCTCGCCGGCCTTGGGCTCCAGGAGTCCATCAAAAGGATCCCTCAATCCCAGGAGCCAACATCCTGTCTCCTCTGACCAGCCAAGTGTGGTGGACAGTCAAGTTTTCCCACATTGCACCACACACAAAGGACTCAAGCACGTAGGAGGGCACCAGGCAGTCTGGGATCTGGGTAGTTGGACTCGGGGCCCCATTAAGCAGTGTAGCTGTTGGACCCAAAGTTCAATCAGTCCTAACCTGGGTTACAAACGTGTCGCTGTCCAAGCACTAAGGCGATGTCTACACAATCGGTTTTTGCCAGAAGAGGTAATGCAAATGAAGCGCTGATTAGCATATTGTCGTGTTTCATTTGCATAGTCTATTCCGAGCCGGTTTTGCGCAAAAACGTGCAGTGTGGACATTTCCTTTTTGCGCAAAAACATGCAGTGTGGACGTTTCCTTTTTGCACAAAAAAACCCTTTTTGTGCGAGATCCTTACCCCTCTCCCAGAAGGGATAAAAGAATACAAGAAAAAGGGGGTTTTCCACAAAAAGGAAACGTTCACACTGCCTGTTTTGCGCAAAAACCCCCTTGCACAAAAAGGGCTCGGAATAGATTATGCAAATGAAGCATGACAATATGCTAATCAGTTCTTCATTTGCATTGCCTCTTCCGGCAAAAGCCATAGTGTAGACAAAGCCTAAGTTAACTAACCCAGAGTCTGCTGACTTGAGTCCTACTGTCTAACTCGAGACAGACCTGGGCTGTGTCTAGACTGGCAAGCTGCTTTTGCGGAAAAATTTGCCAGCTGTCTACACTGGCCGCAATGTAAGATTGTCAGTGTTCTTGCGGAAATGCTATGCTGCTCCCGTTCGGGCAAAAGCCCTCTTGCGCAAATGCTTTGCGCAAGAGGGCCAGTGTAGACAATGTGGTATTGTTTTGCGCAAAAAAGCCCCGATGGTGAAAATAGTGATCGGGGCTTTCTTGCACAAAACTGCATCTAGATTGGCACGGACGCTTTTTGTTTTTGCGGAAAAGCGTCCGTGCCAATCTAGACGCTCTTTTCCGCAAATGCTTTTAACGGAAAAACTTTTCCATTAAAAGCATTTATGGAAAATCCTGCCAGTCTAGACATAGCCCTGAGGTTTAAAGGCCAGGCAGAGCCATCCTGAGCTTAGTCTGACCCCCTGCAAAACACAAGCCAGAGAATCCACAGCCATGTCATTGTCCCCATCCTGGGCTCTGTCCTGTATCGGGGGCCTAGAATCCCGTTGTGGCAATGGAAAGAGTCCGTGGCAGTGTTCCAGGGGAGCATGGTCACTACTCTACACACACAAACTTTCTAAGGTAAAAGACTCTATAACTAGACGTGTTACAACTTCTTATTGCTAAAAACCAAAATTGGTAACTTCAGCCAGAGCTGATCAGAAAATGTCTGGGTTTGTTCGCATGAGAAATTTCAGTTGCTCAGCAAAAACCCAGAAGCTGAACTGTTTTACCCAAAACATGTTGATCCCAAAACACTGCGGCTGTGTCTACACTGGGCCACTTATTCCGGAAAAGCAGCCGCTTTTCCAGAATAACTTGCCAGCTGTCTACACTGGCCGCTTGCTTTTCCAGAAAAGCAAGGACGATCTACTGTAAAATGGTCAGTGTTTTTCTGGAAAAACTATGCTGCTCCCGTTCGGGCAAAAGTCCTTTTCCAGAAAAACTGTTCCGGAAAAGGGCCAGTGTAGACAGCACAGAAGTCTTTTCCACAAAAAAGCCCCGATCGTGAAAATGACGATCGGGGCTTTTTTCCGGAAAAGCGCGTCTTCATTGGCCACGGACGCTTTTCCAGGAAAAGTGCTTTTCCGGAAAAGCATCCTGCCAATGTAGACGCGCTTTTTCCGGAAATACAACGGAAAACTGTTCCGTTTTAAGCATTTCCGGAAAAGGGTGCCAGTGTAGACGTAGCCTGCCATGGTACCTCATTGGAGCTGTGGTTCAGGAGCTTGCTGCTCCCATTCTCCTCTATAATCTGGGCTCCTGTGTCAGACTACACCTCCTGTTATGCATCATAGTCTCTCCTTGTGGTCCATCATGGGAGTCCTTGACTTTGGTGTATCATGGGAAATGTAGTCCAGCCTGGAAGTCTAGCCCATAGACAAGAATATGGCACAAGACAATGAGTGCACTGCGATGGGAGAGCAGAGGAGATATTATTTGGTTTGGGGACATGGGTTTTTTGGTGAAAACAGTCATTTTTCAGGCCAAGTTCAATGTAATCAACAGCCCGATTTTCTGTCACAGTAGAGTTGAGGCAGAACATTTTTGAGCAGCCTTGGAAAGCAGCTAGCGTGTAAACGAACCCCACCAGTGATGGACTGACCTGCTGTGCATTCTCCGCCCTGCAGCCCTACAGGATGCCTCTGAGATTGTCAACAAGATCAAAGCCGATACCGTGGAGGTGGCGGAACTGCGCGGCATTCTGCAGACCATGGGGATCCCTTTCACTGACCAGGAGTTCCAGGAAGTGCTGCAGAAAGTGACGCTGGAAAGTGAGCCTTTCAAAAGGCTGTCCGTCCGTCTGTCTGTCTGTTTTAGTGGTGCACGTGTAAGGAGGGGCACATACACAGGTCAGCATGTAGCCAGCTGGTGCGTGCCAGGCTTCCAACCTCCATGGGACCCCTTTGACATGAGTCCCAGAGCTGAATGCTAATGTCAGGCTAGAGCGTTATCCCAATTGACAGCGGTGTCGCTGAGAGCAGGACTGGGCCTTGCCCGTTCACCCCCAGCTGCCATCGCTAAATTAAATGACTCCATTAAAACATCGTCTCTACACACCGCCTGTTCCTCATGTGGACAGAATGCCTTAGGGGTGCGGGGACCGCCGGAGATGCGTGGGGGTCCTCCGGGGGGTCCGTGAGTCATGGTCAAGCCACTGATCTGGCCAATCAGATCCTCAGCTCCCCTGCCCTAGGTTTACAATAAGCAGTGGAGCCGACAACAACCACGGGCAACAACTCTGGGAAGGGGTGGAGCCCCGGGTTCCCTCTAAGCTGCACGCATGCACGGCCACGCACCAAGAAATCGTAGGCCTGCCCCGCTCACCTGCTCAGCAGCACGCCCGACCACGCACTTTCCTGCGGGACAGGAAGGTGAGTGGTGGCGGCGGGGGCAGCCTGGTGGGTTCTAGCAGGGCCGTGTGCGGAGAGCGGGGGCCTGCTCCACCCCCATTTGCTCTGAGTGGAGCCAGGTCGCGACAGCACAGAAGTCTTTTCCACAAAAAAGCCCCGATCGTGAAAATGACGATCGGGGCTTTTTTCCGGAAAAGCGCGTCTTCATTGGCCACGGACGCTTTTCCAGGAAAAGTGCTTTTCCGGAAAAGCATCCTGCCAATGTAGACGCGCTTTTTCCGGAAATACAACGGAAAACTGTTCCGTTTTAAGCATTTCCGGAAAAGGGTGCCAGTGTAGACGTAGCCTGCCATGGTACCTCATTGGAGCTGTGGTTCAGGAGCTTGCTGCTCCCATTCTCCTCTATAATCTGGGCTCCTGTGTCAGACTACACCTCCTGTTATGCATCATAGTCTCTCCTTGTGGTCCATCATGGGAGTCCTTGACTTTGGTGTATCATGGGAAATGTAGTCCAGCCTGGAAGTCTAGCCCATAGACAAGAATATGGCACAAGACAATGAGTGCACTGCGATGGGAGAGCAGAGGAGATATTATTTGGTTTGGGGACATGGGTTTTTTGGTGAAAACAGTCATTTTTCAGGCCAAGTTCAATGTAATCAACAGCCCGATTTTCTGTCACAGTAGAGTTGAGGCAGAACATTTTTGAGCAGCCTTGGAAAGCAGCTAGCGTGTAAACGAACCCCACCAGTGATGGACTGACCTGCTGTGCATTCTCCGCCCTGCAGCCCTACAGGATGCCTCTGAGATTGTCAACAAGATCAAAGCCGATACCGTGGAGGTGGCGGAACTGCGCGGCATTCTGCAGACCATGGGGATCCCTTTCACTGACCAGGAGTTCCAGGAAGTGCTGCAGAAAGTGACGCTGGAAAGTGAGCCTTTCAAAAGGCTGTCCGTCCGTCTGTCTGTCTGTTTTAGTGGTGCACGTGTAAGGAGGGGCACATACACAGGTCAGCATGTAGCCAGCTGGTGCGTGCCAGGCTTCCAACCTCCATGGGACCCCTTTGACATGAGTCCCAGAGCTGAATGCTAATGTCAGGCTAGAGCGTTATCCCAATTGACAGCGGTGTCGCTGAGAGCAGGACTGGGCCTTGCCCGTTCACCCCCAGCTGCCATCGCTAAATTAAATGACTCCATTAAAACATCGTCTCTACACACCGCCTGTTCCTCATGTGGACAGAATGCCTTAGGGGTGCGGGGACCGCCGGAGATGCGTGGGGGTCCTCCGGGGGGTCCGTGAGTCATGGTCAAGCCACTGATCTGGCCAATCAGATCCTCAGCTCCCCTGCCCTAGGTTTACAATAAGCAGTGGAGCCGACAACAACCACGGGCAACAACTCTGGGAAGGGGTGGAGCCCCGGGTTCCCTCTAAGCTGCACGCATGCACGGCCACGCACCAAGAAATCGTAGGCCTGCCCCGCTCACCTGCTCAGCAGCACGCCCGACCACGCACTTTCCTGCGGGACAGGAAGGTGAGTGGTGGCGGCGGGGGCAGCCTGGTGGGTTCTAGCAGGGCCGTGTGCGGAGAGCGGGGGCCTGCTCCACCCCCATTTGCTCTGAGTGGAGCCAGGTCGCGGTGAAGCTGTCCCTGCTTAGGCAGCCTCAACGGACCCAGTTCCAGCTACTATGGGTGGGACACAACAGCCCGGCCGGGACCGGAGCCACCGCATGGTGGGAGGTGATTGCAGCCAGTGCGTGGCCCCCAAGCCTATCCCCTGGCACCCTTACCCCAGGAACAGCTGGCTGGGAGTTCTGGGCAGCGCCGCCCCAGCTCCCCCCTTGCCCACCGGTTGAGGGAGCCAGGAAGCCAACCCCCCCCTCCCCG